TGGAGCAGCGTTCAGCAGAAGGAAAGAAAAGTATGTCGGTTTTTCTTTTACAGGTATACCGGTTCTTGCAATCCTTACTATAGCGACCAGGTCATTGTGATTTATATATTCCAGTATTGTGTTTTTCCAGTTGCTATAGTGTGACATATTCTACTCGCTCAGATAAAACTATTTCTGGAGCAGTAAATTATTCCGGGGCTTCATAACTAAACCTAAAGAGATCTCTGCTCCTTTCTGTAAGGAAGTAGAAATGTTTGGAACTTAAGTCTGTATTTGATTTCTGTTGGGCCGTACCCGATGACCTGCAGCGTCTCCGCGGGGGCCGCCATTGATCTTCCGCACACCCTCCAGTGACCGTGTATTGAAACAGACACTAAATTTTTATTTTCTAGATCGAGAGAAAGAATATTGTTCCTCCCGGCCGAGCAGTCCCCGCCCTCAGAAAACCTCACCGAACGGTTCCAGTAGTAGTGTCGGGATGAGTAGCCGGATCGGTAGCCAGTCCATTTCAGACGTGATCTGTAAGACCAGCGGGGAGATGGTGTTTGTTTACGATACGGTGAAGGAAGGCGCTCGGAGCATACGTACCTCCGAGAGGGTCACGCTCATAGTCGACAACACCAGATTTGTTGTTGATCCGGCTATATTTACGGCACAGCCAAACACAATGTTGGGCAGGTTTGTATACTTTTTTATATTATCTGTTGCTGTCCGTTGGGTCATTGTGTGTCTCTTGCTTCTCTTCTGCTTTGGCAGTCTTCCTGTATTGCAAAAGCAACAATGATCCTAAAGAGGGATTCAGTAAAGATTTGTATCTGGGAATCGCAGGCATTTTTCTTTTAAAGCTCTTTACTTCAGTTTCGTATTCAATAAAATCTCCTAAATAAAACAATCCTACCAGAGATGATCCCACAGCAGCAGAAATGAGACTCGGAGTGGGTGGTTATCCAATGGGAGACAATGAGGGTGATGGCAGTGCGGCCTCGTATGTATTGGGTGCACTGGTA